TTACATAATACTCTTGAAAAAACAAAACTATAGAGATGGAGGACAGATCAATGATTGTTAGGGGAGATAGGGGAGGGAGGTGAGCTAGTAACAACAACAACAACAATAACGGGATAGCATGAGGAAGTTCTTTGGGGGTGATGGTACTATTTTGTATATTCATTGTAGAGGTGGTTCCATGAATCTGTACTAGTGTTTAAAATCATAGAACCATATACAAAGAGAAAGAGGTCAATTTTACAGTATGTTAATTTTAAAAATTAAAAAAAGAAAGCAAAGCCAAACAAACAAATTAACAAGGAAAGCAAGATATTTTCCCTTGTTTGAAATATCTATTGGGTAGAGCACATTAGCATAAATAAGCAAAGTGAATGGTAAATGGGAGGAAGGAATGGAAAAACAGATTCTTAGATTGTGAGGCTCATAGATTAACCCAGGGTTAGCGAATACTCTTGTTTGTGGCAGCCTGTATTTCTAAAAATGGCTGCAACATTATGTGTCAGCCTATCTTGCTACTCCTCCATCAAGAGGTCTGTGTCCGTACCACTTGAATTTGAGATTGCATACACCAAGGGAGTATGGTGAAAGCAGCAGTATGTGCTTCCTGAGGCTGTCATAAAAATGCTATGTGCTTCCTCCTTGTTCCCTTAAAACACTCACTCTTAGAACCCAGTTAGTGTATCGTGAAGACTTCCAAGTAGCCCATGGAAAGGCTTATGTGAAGAGGAACGGAGGTCTTTGTCCACACAGCCTTGGCTCATCTTCCAACCAATAGCCAGCACCAACTTGCCAACCACATAAAAGCCACCTTGAAAGTAAAATCAAACTAGGTGAACTGCCTAGAGCAGAGTGTGTCAGCCAAGTCCTGGCTAAGTTGGCTACTCATGAGCAAGGTAAATGATTGTTGTTGTTCTAATCTACTAAGTTTTGGGGTGGGTTTTTACACAGCAATAGGTAGCTAATAGAATGTTTTAACTCCTTAGCACCAACAGATGAGACCTTCCTAGCATTCCTGGGATGGGATGAGTTTAGGGCAAAAGAACACATGACTGAGCAGTGAGGTGGTACACTGGGCAGAGGACTGCCACTACACACTTATTTGAGTAGCAAAATTTTTAAAAATACAAAACTGACAATATCAAGTGCTAGCAAGGACTCAAGAGCATCTGGAACTCCCATACATTGCTGGTGAGAATGAAAAAAAGCATCAGTGCTAGTCACCTGTCCTGTCGGATCCAGCACTCTCATTTTATATTTGAATAAGAGACAGGGTGCAGTTGTGATCTGCTCAAGATCACACAGATATTTTGTACCAGAGCCAAAACTCCGAATCAAGTCTTCTGACGTGCAGTTTAGTGTTCTTTTCACTCTGCCTGTCCATTTCCAGTAACAGATTCCAGAGACCTGAACCACAGGGTCTGGGGCAATAAATATATGCCGGGTGCTTCTTACCCCTCTCATGCCTGTGACAGACATCGTTAGTTAAGTACAGTGCTTTCTTAAAGTCACTGATGAGCATGGAGATTATAGACCCAAATTGCCACTAGAGAAACTGAGTAGAAAAATGCAAGAGCTATAACTGATTTGTATCAGGAGTGTCAGAAGAATACAGCAAAGGCAATCTCAAAACATAAGCTGTAAAATGATCTAATATGGAAGTGCATCGTGCATGAGAAAAAGGAAAGTATTTAGACATAACCACTTGGGATCAAGGATGTCTGAAACGACACATGAGCTTCTTACAGAATTGACTAAGGAATCACTTTCCACATCCTTGAGGAAATATGTTGTAGATGCTCTTAGACAATTTCTATTTCATATTTTAAAACTTATTTTGTGGGGCGCCTGGGTGGCTCAGTCAGTTGAGCATCCAATTCTTGATTTCTGCTCAGGTCACGATCTCAGGGTTGTGGGATCCTGCCCCACGAGGGACTCCATGCTCAGCAGGGAGTCGGCTTGGGATTCTTTCTCTTCCTTCTTCCCTGCCCCCAACTCTAAAATAAATAAATAAATCTTTTAAAAATAACTTATTTTGTTGTTGGAAGAAAACCTGTTACTTTAGTTCTACAAAGTATATTGTATACATATAAAATTTGGCCTCATCCTGAATACAATAGAATTGGAATGCATACAACACATTCAACAGAGCAGTAATGGTGTCTTGTATACTTTGACGGTTCTGTTCTTCATAATGCACTTGTCATTGAGAGAAAAGCAGGCTTAGAAAAAAATATACGATTTCTAGGGTATAATTTAAAAGCAGAGGTTATAAAGCCAGGGCACTGTGAATTTTAGGGTAGCTCCCTGAGAACCAGATTCTCAGATTCACTCAACATAGGACCAAGAGCAGAGCTTCTCCCAACTTGATCGTAGGAGTACAAAACACCCTGCAGAAGCAACCACAAGCAGACTCCCAGAAAAATAATGATCACTCTCTCCCTTTCTATGATTCTGAGTAGGGCATGGGGGTAGGGTTAGCTATGAAAGTTATTTGAGAAAACCAAAGTGGCCAAGTTCCTTCATTAATCCATTTGTTCACTGAGTATCTACTATGTGCATGGTCTTCTGTTAAACACTACTTGGAACACAAGGATGAAACAGGAGTTTTATCTTCAAAGATTCTTTAGCCTGGACCCCATCCTCCTCTTTTAATAGCGTAAGATTTGAGAACAAGAGCCTAATGAGTTAGAAATCTGAGTATCAGCCAATGGCACCCAAACACAAGAACACCGGGTTTAAGCATTAGAAGCAGGATACATCACTACAATTGTCTACAAAAATCAGCAGGCTTCAAAAATATTAACACAAACCTTTCTCTCTCTTTCTCTTTCTTTCTTTCTTTCTTTCTTCATTTCTTTCTTTCTTTCTTTCACTCTCTCTCGTTTTCTTCTGACATGGATTACATTATCATTTGCAATATTACTAATTGCTGGATCACTTAGATGCATTACTGTGCTCTGAGGAAATTATTCCTGGTAATGAAATTCTTTTCATCAGTTCCACTTTCAGATTTGCAATACAGGCTTGTCCTTTAACAAGTAAGTGTTCTTTTCAGAAAAATATGCAGCAGATGTGGCAAAACAGAAATATAATATTCTTGGAAGTGGGCTAGTTTGGATAACAATTAAGCTTTCGTATTTGGATTTTATTCTTCTAGTAATCTCTCTGTCCCCATCCAGATTTTCACAAAGGTCGAAGTCATCATTTTGTGTAATTTATTCTCAAATCTTCAAACAAAGGTCAGTAAGATTCTTGTTATATCTTCTCAGATTTTTTGTAGTAAGGAGCTGTTGATTTATATTCCCCCCATTCTTTTCTGGAATAGATATTTCGGTAATTTCCACCAGGTTTTCCTAAATACCAGCAACTTGTTTTTCAGTGAATAAACTTAACCCGATTACCTCTCAAAGGCCTATAATATCTATTAAGTTCCAGGGCACAAGAACAAGACAGAAAATATCTTTCTTATCTGTAAAATGGGGATAAAGTGCACATTGTAAGGTCAGTATGAGAACTAAGCACAGTACAAGAAAGCAGAGAGCCAGGTATATAACAGGAATTCTCTAAATAATAATTTCCCTTTGCTTCCTTTTAAAAATGACAGTACTAAAGCTCAGGATTTAATCATTAAAACAGTGACAGATGCAAACCATTCAAGTCTCAATCAACTTTTCGACACTTTGATATGTAGAATATTTGACATTTCTCCTTCCTTCTTCATGGAAAAAGCACCCCACATCAGGGAAAATGAAAAATTTGGGGAAAAACACCTATAATTTCATCATCCTAGCACTACAACAGTTTCCATTTTTGTCATGGTCTGGCTTTTATACAAAACGGCCACATTTTCTGCACAGTCGCCACGAGACTGTGCTTCGCATGGCATCATCTCTTTTAAGGTACTAAGAGATTTATTCCAGGTGATAGTGGGAAGCTGCCGACGAGGAAGGAATGCAAAGCTGCGGAGGTGTTAAAGTTCTCTCACATTGTTCAAACCTTTCTCCAGCACAGAAACTCCACAAAGAACTCCTCGGCAGTATTCGTTACCCAGGGCGGTTTCTTTAAATTGTTTGACGTCAGAGAAGGAATGCTATAGCAACAGACTGTCAAACTGGAATTAACTCAGAAGAAAGATGGGGGTGGGGAGAGGAAAACTGCTCCCGGGCGGTACTGACTTCAGAGGAAGCAAATTGGGTAGTTGCATTCATTTTCTGACATTTTAAACATAAAACACCCGGAGAAATGTGAAAAAAAAAGTCGGTTGAGATGCATATGATGTTTAACTCATGCAGTGATGAGCGACTTGCCAGGGTTATCGGAAAGGCCTCGTTTCCTCAGTAACAATAACTTCCAAGGATTGGTCATTTATTTAGAGGCAGGCTCTGTGCAAACGGTATCTCATTTAATATTTTAGCACCTTTATGAGGCAGGTATCATCCCTATTTTGCCCATGACCGAGCTGAGTCCCTGAGACGTCTCGTACACGGTCACCCAGCGATGGTAGAGCTGGGATTCCAACGCAATTTAGTGTGACTCTGGGCTCCAGTTTACTTTCTTAAGCATAAAATTCCAGACTGTTAAACCTAAACGGGACCTTGGGGTCCTCTACGTCAGCCCCCCATCCTGCCCACGAGCAAACTGAGGCTTCTGAGGTGCCAGGAAGGAAATCGGCCACACCACTTGGGCGCAACTCAGAAGTGTGCTCCGGCGTCCAGGCGCCACAAGGACAAGAAAACGAAACTGCCTGGGAATTAATGTTTTTCTTCTTCTAGCAGGAAACGAGAGAGAAAATAGGAAGCAGAAGCTGCGCGCTGTGCCCGCTGCCTTCGCCCCCCGGCCCCCGCCCCGGCGACGCGCGCTCCAGGGCGCGCGCGTGCCCGCGGCGCGCCCCAGCGGGCCCGCGCGCCTCGTGCCTCGCGCCTCGCGCCTTGAGCCACGTCCCCGCCCCGGGCCCGGCGCGCCGCGGAGTTGGCTGCTGGGCGGCGCGGGACTGGGTGTGGCCGGCGGATCTCAGCGGCGCTGGTCTCGGCTGTGCGCTGTGCTCTGCACGCCGGCTCCGCGCTCGAGGGGCTGCTGAGCTCCCCGCGGACTCAGGCAGCGGCCGGTCGACGCGGACTCGAGCTCCCTCCAGGTAGGCGGTGATCGCACGCGCCGCGGATCGTCTGAGCGCCCCCCGGGGGGATCCCGGGCTTCCCGCAGGGGGCGTGGGGCGCCTCGGGGCCGCCCCCGCGGAACCCCGCCCGGTGGTGGCGTGGGGCTGGCCGGCTCGGGCGCTCTGGGCGGCGGAGCCTGCCCGGCAGGGACGGGACGGGCGCGCCTTGGTCGAGCTGTGCTCCCGCGCGGGGGCCAGCCCCTCGGCCGCCGCCTCGGGCACTTCCTGGGCGGCTCGCTGGACCGCTTGCTCTGGGAAGCGAGGGGGCGGCCTATAGTCTCTCGGCCTCCAGACCCCCCAGGTCGGTCCCTACGCCCCGAGGCCTCGCCGGGCGACTCAGCGCGAGCTCGTGGTTGCCCTGAAAATAGCGGTTATTCGGGACTGCCCAGAAGGGTTATTGGGTAGCTCATAAAAGTTTTCCGCTGAGTGCTAAAAATGAGACTAGTGGTTTCGTGTTAAATTTGTTTTGGAAATGATATGTCCAGTATTGGGGCGCGGGGTAATGGAATATGAATTCTTGTAAATTCTGTACATGATAAAATGTTTTCCTTTTCTCTCCACATTCTTTTTCTGCTTCAGAACACAAATGATTGCCTTCTACTTTGATATTTATTGCTATACGGTAAGGGAAGACTGAATTTCCAAAAGTTTAAAAACAGACTTTCATTTGTTTATAGAAACGATGCTTTGTTATTTTGCATCTCGCTCTCTCTGTCTCTCTTTCGGTGTCTCTTCCCTTTTCTCCCATTCCTTCCCCTTCTCTTTTGGTAGAGGATGTGGATACATCTTTTTCTCTTTCGGCCACTGGCAGAATAGCTCGGCGTGTAGATTAGCACCCTGCTGGGAAGTTTTCTTAAGACATTTGAAATTTAATTGTTGATCAGAACGCTTTATTATCGTTCCTTCTTAGTGTTGCAAACTGAGATTGTGACCTTTGAGTACATCTTCTAGAACACAGAGCACACACTGCTTATTTAAGATGAAAGGGAAGTCTTTTCTAGTCGTGGAGGAAAAGGACGGTTTGGATACATAAAATTGTATGCTTTGAGTCTCTTTGCCATTGTACATTTTAAGACTCTTTAGTGTGGAGCTTTTGGCGGCTCTGAAAGTTTATTGTATATTTCAGTATTTGGCTAAAGATCATTTTAAGATTTTCCGTGTTGCATTTTTGTTTGTAGATGAATTTGAAACTGAAATAGAAGCTTTTAAAATATTTTATTGAACGTGGTTAACTATCTTGTGTATACACATTTATTAAATTATAAAATTGGTTACCGTGGTTTGCAATACATTCAGGTTCATCTCTGTGAGCCATAAGCATTGTTTAGGGGGTTATTCTGAGTCATTGGTCTTTGTTAACCTGTAGAATTGCTTCTTGTATTATTTTTTCCAGCTTTATTGAGATACAGTTGACATATAACATGGTATAAGTTTAAAGTAAACAACGTGATGACTTTATATTCATATATATTGCAAAATGATCACCATAGTAAGATTGGTTAACACATTCATCACCTGTGTGTGCCTGTGGCTGTGTTTAGCAACTTTCAAGTACAGAATACAGTGTTGTTAACAGTAGTAACCATGCTGTACCTTATATTCCCAGAGCGTACTCTTATAACTGGAAGTTTGTACCATTTGATAACATCTCCCCAGAATTGTTTCTTTTAAGTCATTGGCCCTTTAGTATGTCGGCACATATTTTTACACTTTAAAAATAGATTCTGGGACATTTTGAAAATTGAGAATTGGAACAAAGAATCGGACATTTTTCTGCCCTTACCAAGTACTGCCTGAGATGGTGTGATTTCTCGAGTTTTTCAGGCATGTTACTAAAGTACACTTTGTTAATAGTTTCTTTACCTTGCTGACTGGTTTAACCTGGATTTGTTGTAGGGACTAATTATTAGACATTTGTTCTGGGCCAGGGGTGATGCTATACATTATTCTGTTTATATCTGACATGAACTTGGCAAAGGAGGCATTCTCCAGTTCTACAGGTAAGGAAACTATGCCCCTGAAATCTAAAATAACTTGCCTGTGGTCATGTAGCTGTTTAGTCACTCAACTGGGATTCAAGGCCAGACCTCTCTGAATCTGAAGTCCACGTTCTTTCCTCTGTGCCACATTGACTTCGTGCCAGGACATGAGGAATGACCCTCAGTTACTCGTTAGCATATTTGTAAATTTTCCAAGACATGCCAGAGATGTGGATTTGTTTTTCCAGCATGGTTGTTACTATCCGTCTGTGTTATTGTGCAGATCCTCATGTCAACCATTCTCTCACCTCTCTGTTCCTGGTTCAATGTCTGGCTCACTCAAAGTTCAAGACCTCCCTCTTGTGAGGGCAGATTTTCTCCTGTTGACATTAATAGGTAATGAAAACTTGATTATCCTTCCAAAATAATAACCCCATTTTAATGTGGGTTTTCTAGAGCCATAGATACAACTATTTTGGAAGGTTATAAACAGTATGACAGTCTCTTTTGAAATATGGGAACCCTCTGATATTCCTCAAATTAAACCAGAAGATATTTCTTTTAAAGATTTTATTTATTTATTAGGGAGAGAGAGGACACAAGCAGGGAGGAATGGCAGGTAGAGGGAGAGGGAGAAGCAGGCTCCCTGCTGAGCAGGGAGGACAATTCGGGCTCGATCCCAGGACCCTGACCTGAGCCGAAGGCAGATGGGATGAGCCACCCAGGCGCTCCTGTGTCTCCCATCTTAAAATTCTTTTCTTGACCTATTATTCTGCCCCGTGTCTCTGGCTCCACATTGAGAAAGCATCATTTTTTTTTTTTTTTTAGAAAATGTAATTTTTTGAGAGAATAAAAATAAATACAGGAGAGGATAACCAGAAAGTAATTAGTTACCTACAGGGGGTGGTGGGTAGGAACTGAGTAGAAGGCATAATGGAGGGAACAGCACTGCTGTGATTTTATCTTTTTGTATAGTTTTGGAAACTTGTTTATGTTTTATATGTTCAAAAATAAAATTAACAAGTTTGAAAGAAAACTCCTCCAAAATTTAATACAAATAGGAACAAAGGAACCAACTATATTTCAATGAATAACGTGAATTCTCTGAAGAAAAGAAAAATCCAGGTAAGTTTTTAACACACCACTTTGACTATCTACCTTTAATCTAAAGATAGAAAGGACTGCCAAAAAAAAAAAAAAAAATCTTGAGTCCTGAGTAGTAAACTGGTTTTTTATAGTGGTAGAGATATAGCAAGTCTTGGACTATTTTGTATGTATCATAGAAATGAGCAAATGAGTAAATTCATAGATTTTTTTAAAAAGATTTTATTTATTTTACAGAGAGAGCACAAGCAGGGGGAGAGGCAGGCAGAGGGAGGAGAAGCAGGCTCTCTGCTGAGCAAGGAGCCTGATGTGGGGCTCGATCCCAGGACCCTGAGATCATGACCTGAGCTGAAGCCAGACACTTAACCGACTGAGGCACCCAGGCATCCCAAATTCATTGATATATTTTGAGGTAGGGTTTTCACTGTGGGAGAAGGGAAATAAAGATATGAAATGGAAGAAGGCAGTGAAGCACTCTTTGGTGTTGGATTGGATTTAGAGTTACATATTTCCTAGCTCTGTCTGATGGAAAGGTCTAGAAGCAATGACACCCTAGTAGCAGTGAGCACAAGTAGTGCCCATATCTAAATGGCTGATTTTAGGGCTGGGGCAGGGAAAGTAGAAGAACCTAGAACACAAGGTAGGAAGTATTCCCCCAAATGGTGGTAGCACATCAAAAGGACATAGGAACTAGCTTGAACAGCCAAATCTGGGAAAATTTGAGCCTGAAAATGAATAATGATAGTAACAGATTATAACCCATTGAATAAAATAAGAATCCACAAGTTTATAATAAATAAAGGAAAAGGAGAAAGCATTTTCACTTGACTGCCAGTAAAAATGTAGAAAGAGCAATAGAATTAGAAGAGTGACTGGTTTACCACCATCATGGTCAGTTGATTCACATGAGTGTCACTAACGGAGAAAATTGGATGGGGAAAAGGGTACTAATACGGTTTCCAGTGGTCTCTCCAGAGATTAATGACCAAGGGGAAAATGAATACTTCACAGTGCAGAAATCAGGAAGACACCACCTCAATCAAGTGATGAAAGTTAACATCTCTATTAGCGGGATAAACAGGTTCCTCTTGGGGTGCCTGGGTGACTCAGTTAAGTGTCTGCCTTCAGCTCAGGTCGTGATCCCAGGGTCCTGGGATTGAGTCCCGTCGACCTCCCTGCTCAGCAGGGAATCTTCTTCTCCCTCTCCTCTACCCCTGCTTGTGCACCCGCGCGCTCTCTCTCTTTCTTGTGTGTGCGCTCTTTTGCTCAAATAAATAAAATCTTAAAAAAAAAGGAAAGAATGCGAAAAAAAAAATAAATAAAGGAAGATAGTTTAAGAGACCTGACAAAGTACAATGCATAATCCTAGATTGGATCTTGGATTGGAAAATCTAACTGACATCAGGACATTGGCAGAATTTGAGTAAGTACTGAATATTAAATAATAGTATTGCAGGGCACCTCGGTGGCTCAGTCGTTAAGCATCTGCCTTCGGCTCAGGTCATGGTCCCAGGGTCCTGGGATTGAGCCTCGCATTGGGCTCCCTGCTCAGCGGGAAGCCTGCTTCTCCCTCTCCCACTCCCCCTGCTTGTGTTCCTTCTCTCGCTGTGTCTCTCTCTGTCAAATAAATAAATAAAATCTTTAAAAAAAATAGTATTGCATCAATATTAAGTTTCCTGAATTTGGTCATTGTACTGTGGTTATATAAGACAACGTCCTTGTTCTTAGAAGATACACAGTGATTTATTAGAAGTAAATGGTCAAAATATCTTCAATTTAATCTCAAAATGGACAAGCAATAATTATTACATATGAAGAGAGAATGATAAAGCAAACATGGCAAATATTAACAATTAGTGAACCTAAGTGAAAGGTCTAAGAGTACTTACTCACCATACTACCTTTTTCAGCTTTGTTTGAAATTTAAAAAAAAATGAAATGTTAAAAATAAAACTTCAAAAAATAATAAAGCTACTTTGTGTCCAAAAACAACAACAAAAAATCTCTGAAGGATTCCATGTAGGCTGTATCTACTCCTCAGCTCCCTGGCTCCCCTCTTCTAAATCCACTCCAGAGTGACTTTATCCTTCCTGTGCTGTGAAAAAACCATTCTTCTCAGGGTCACCAGTGACATCGGTCTTGCCACGTTAGATCTCTCGGCCACCTTTCACACGGGTAATGGAGAACTCCTTCCTGCTGAAGCAATTTTCCCTTGGCTTCTGGAACATGGACTTTGATTTTCATCCTGCTCCACTGGCGATAGCTTCTTACTCTCCTCAGAAAATGGTGTTATCATCCACCCAGTTGCTTAGGCTAACAATTCTAAGAATAATCTTTAATTCTCCTGTTTCACTCATCCTACATCTATTCCCCCACTGGCAACTCTAATGGGTTCTAACTTATTATTATTATTTCAAATTTGGCTATTTTTTATTGTTTTTGCTGCCACTACCCTTGTGTCAAACCACCATCTTCTGGGGCCTGGACTGCAACAGTAGCTCCTAACTGGTCTTTCAGCTTCCAATCTCAGGCAGCAGAA